ACCGTTTCTACTGGTCAGAGAAATCAAATCTGGTTTACTTTACTGCTGAAGTGTGATAAACCGGAAACGACAAAGACAAATCAGCAGCCGATCCGATCCGAGTTTCCCTTAAGGGATTTTCATAGGTCTGACAATATTCTTCATCATTGCGCGGGGAAACCTCAACCTCAAACTAAAAATAATATGCCTTAAATTAAGACTTTTATAGATGATGATTTCTATTGTTAGTTTCGGTTCTGCGCCATGCACTTAAACCAGTTAATCAGTTTCGACGACATCTTATTCATATGGTTCGAGGAGGCAGGAGCTTCAGACAGCGTCTCCAACATTCGCTATCTTGTGTCAGCGTTTGACTCTCGGCAGAAGTCTAAAGCAGAGTATGCCTAAACAAACGCCTGAGGTAGTTCTTGGTAGTTCCCAGGTCGTTCAGATAATCTGTTGAACAAATCGTGGTTGTCCTAACAAATGGTCACCCCTTCTATGTGGAAGCATTCGCAGTGCAGAAAAGTACGGGGTCAGTTCATCGCAGAAAACCCGTTTCAGTCGCTTCTACCCGAGATCACAGGTTTTCAGTGAATTCACATGATTCATGATCAAAGCCGAGCATCTGCATGAAAATTGCCCTGAACACAGAGAGCTTAGTCTTCATTCGGCTCTCTTATAGCTGCAAATTTGGGGTAGTTCACACAGAAACCAGCTAACCATCCCGATTCTCTGGTCGACTTCTTCCGGCCAGTTTCTGTAGTCGCCACGCACTTAATAAAATTTCTAATCTACTGATTCAATGGTTTTGGGGAGCAACGCAAAGACTGATGCTATCATACCAATATTAATCAGATGTCAATGTTCATATGTATTTTTCTGGAATGCAGCCAGCGTTACATGATTGAAACGCCATTCAATGCGTCTCGTCGGTTGGTGCCACAAACCTATGACTACTGATTTGACTTGACTTTTATGGACCTCTCACGGGACCCCCCTGATACAACCCTGAAATGTTGATTAGAAAGATAAGGGAACAAGTTATGTGAAGGAGATCGTTTCTGGTACAGAGAGAACAGTAATTACGCGGAATATTCGCTACAGGATTCAGAGAGATTTTTTGCAATGCCTTAGATAGCTAACATTGTCAGCAGTCGTGCATTTTAGACATCGCCAATTACTGTTTACGACCTTCACGACTGGTTGTTCAGGGTTCAAAAATAATCCCTTTATCGATAAAATGCGCATAGCACAATAGAGTAATAAAATTTAATGAAGAATCTACCGATGTTAATCTATTGGTGTTAAGCTCAAAGGATAATTTTTGCATTTTGGGTAATGCCGTGTTCTTATGACATAGTGTATGGTTGCGCGACGTTGATGATCTCTTCTCATGACCACTGATAATGAAATAAAACGAAAAAAACTTTAATCCCATTGCATATATTTACTGAATCAGCTCACTTATCAGGGGATTAAAATATAGTCTAAAAGATAAGATTATTAAAATGATGACAGATAAGTGTTTGAACCATCCATGGCTCATGGCACGAAAATTATTATGCATTACGTAGTAAAACGAAGAGTTCAAACATTTGCAATGGCACAGTTGACGAATCGAATCGCTCACAAGCATTTGTTAGCTACCAGCCAGAAAGCACTTACCGCCTCTTCCACCGTGGCCAGGGTTTGAACGACGGTGAAATCCGGCAGATGGACAGACGAATAGAAAGAAACGGGTTCCACGGGGTCCCAGACCATGCGCATTTCGTTAATACTGTAGGTGAAGCTCTCA